CGGGCCAGCGCAGTGACCCCGACAGAGCACCCCAGAGCCCGACAGGCCGCTACGGGGGGCCAGGCAGAGCCGGAGACTCTGGGCCATCGCCCCGGCTCGGTCAGACCAGAGCTGAAGCACCCGTGGCCGCCCGGAGCGCCTGCCAGGCTTCACGCTGGTTAGCTCGGGCCTTACGCAGCCCGGTGTTACAAACTGCAGAAACCCCCGGCTGCTCCACAACAGGGGAAGAGCAAGCCCTGCGCAGGAATTCCGCTCTGGTATCCAAGACTGGCAAGGAAAAAAATGAGGTCCACGAGGGAGAACTGAGGCTTCCTAGAAAAACTTCCCCAGAAGAAAACGTTTTGAGATCTGCAAAAGACAGTGATCTTGGGCAAGAAGAGCTACACATGCAACTGTTCTGTGAAGCAGAAGAAGACAGGAAAGACAGGGAAAAGCTGACGAAGAGCAGGAGCAAGGGGAAAGCAGCAGGCAATGTTTTAGTCCACTCATCGTGTTTAGCTCAAATTAAATTGTTTCTCTGAAATCGTAAGCCTACATTCCTGTTAAAAATTAAATAGGTAATTGCATTACTCAAGTTTACAAACATCCTCCTAATACAAAGCGTTGTGGCTACAAGCCAAGCTGTGAATTTGACAGCGCACAGCACAGAAACAGGCATTAGAAACGCAATATCGACACGGCAACTGACCACGCTGGGTATCTACACTGCATCAGCAGACACCCTGCCACAAGTTAGCCCAGTTATGCTCGTCTGCACTGTATGAGCAAGCCTGCATATTGCTTTGGTCTGAACACAAGTGCACACAGTTTCTATATGCGCGGAAGAACATCAAAAGGATTAGTCAGAAACAGCAAACAGTGACTTACAACACACGTGGGGGTGTCTCTACCTGTCACATTAGGTGTGGAAGGCAAGAGCGTAACAGTTCTGGAGCTAAATCAAGGTGTTCACATAACAAAACAGGAGAGAATTCTTGAGCTCTTGCATGTGTTAGTCTGTAAATCACCATTCTCCCAATCACCCAGGTTAATGAATTTTCAAGTAGCACCACCTGACCTTAACTGGGCCCTGTATAAGGCACCACGGGTGTGCTGAGCTTCACTTTTGACACCTGAGACAGCAAAAGGCAACAGGAAAAATAAAAGCGGCATAAAATAGACAGAGAGGGAGACCAAGGCACAACAGAACAGCTATCCCTGAATGGCGAGACCTTGGAGAAGCCTGAGTTTGTCACTTCAAACACAAATACTGAGCACACATTTTGATGACTGCTGTAGCATCTATTTGAAATAACGTGTTCAAAATGTAACAAGCAAAACGAGACATAATGAGGTCTTCACTGACCAACTGTGAAGAATGTGAACAGATGAATAAAGTATTCTTAGGGCAAACAGCAATTTTTCAAAAATACGAAGTGGCCAGATCACCTGCACTTTGGGAAAGGTGTTTTTTTAATCTTAGATATATTTGAAACAGACAGGAATTTTCCTCATATCCATTGAAGACAGTAATTTTCACAGTGGGCAAATTAAACACTCAGGACAGGGAAAAATAGTATTGTGCATCTCAGGAAGGGAGCACCTCACATTTCCACAGACTCAGATTAAACTTCCACAACCAGAAACATATTAAGTGATACTTTGTTTATAGAAGAACCTTGAAACAGATCATTGTCCTGCTTCATCCTTTTCACTATGTGATACCCTTCTGTGTATCCTGAAAAACTACTTGTTGCATACTATCAATCCGTATTTGTAACACGCATCTTCATGACTATCTGGAACTCTCAGAAATGCTATAAAAAGAGTAGTATCTATTTTTTAAAATAACTGTGCGCCTTTTTTTTTAAGCTGTTTTTCCTAAGAAGACAATCTTTTGCGATTGATCTGTTTGTCATCTCTTTTGCTATGCCAGTTGCTTTTGGATTGGTTAGCACATTTCAGTCAAACATGTCAGACTGCTAGAAATCTCAATATACTTTCAACTTCAAGAAATTGTTGTGAGGTTACTGGCACCTAGTATATCAGGGAAAAGCAGGCAGAACTGACCCATTTTTAATTTCTTGAGCAGTTAGCCACTGGCCAACCAGTACAAGATCCTGGCTGGCTGGCCAGCATCAGTGTCACCTCCTCACTGAGCCAAGGCATGCTCTGTTCTACCATGCCTGCTGAAGGGGGTGAGACAAGGGCATCGAGGTGGGAGAGAGCTCTTGCAGAAGGGGAAGGGACATGCTGGACAAGTCTCCCCTAATTCTGCCACTTGCAGCAATCTGCCCGTATGAACTTCTTAAGCCAGCTTTGTCACCAAAGCATTGTGGAGTAACTACCTCTGAAATAACTGTCTGGAGACCAATCTGCCTTAAGTAGTCCAGCTCTGGAGCACTGAGCACAGGAAAGATGTGGACCTGTTGGAGCGGGTCCAGAGGAGGGCCACAAAGATGATCAGAGGGCTGGAGCACTGCTCCTGTGAGGACAGTCTGAGAGAGTTGGGGCTGTTCAGCCTGGAGAAGAGAAGGCTCCGGGGACACCTTATAGCAGCCTTCCAGTACCTAAAGGGGGCCTATAGGAAAGATGGGAAAATCTTTTTATCAAGGCCTGTTGTGATAGGACAAGGAGTAACGGCTAATACAAGGAAGAAATTTTTTACCATGAGGGTGGTGAAACACTGGCACAGGTTGCCCAGAGAGGTGGTAGATGCCCCATCCCTGGAAACATTCAAGGCCAGGCTGGACGGGTCTCTGATCAACCTGGTTTAGTTGCAGGTGCTCATTGCAGGGGGGTTGGGCTAGATGACCTCTAAAGGTCCCTTCCAACCCAAAGCATTCTATGATTCTATGATTCTAAACCAGCATGTCTCAGTACCACTGCAACTGCAACCACCTTTTCATGTAAATTACAATTTCTTTCAACACTGTTGTTTCCTTTCTTGCCACATAGTTAAACATTTTCCACTGCCAGTCTCATTTGTGAGTTATTTAGGTTCCTTGGGCCAGACCTGTACAGGATAAAACAGCATGTACTGTAGTTTCACTGAAGGTAAATTTGTCACCAATTGACCCAGAATTATTTAACATGGCTTTGAAAGATAATTTTACACAGTTCATTTCATTTGGATTCTTGAAAGTTTTAGGGCAATCCATTCACCTGTGTTATGCACGAGGAAGAGAAATATACCTTTTCTTGGATTTGTGCATAGAAAGGAATTCAAAATGATGAAATTTTGAAACATGGATGGCCCTCAACAGGGAGCAGCCTGAATATTTTTATAATGGCTTTACTCAGGTAACGTAAAAATTCTTGGGGTTTATTTAAGTGACCAATTGCCAGCAGCACTATGGACTCGATAAGAACAGTAACCCCATTGTCGTAGACTTCAAACTTTTCTTGAATAGCTCACAGAGAGCGCAGCAGCAAGATTTCACATTAAAACCAAAGCTTTAGGAAACAACAACATTACACTTCTCATAGCAGTACTCTTTCACCTCTGTCAGGTACATGCTAGACAAGACTCCAGTGCCCTACCTTTTCCACCTACCCTGCTCCTGCAGAAATGATGCATCCTGTACACATACACAAGGCATCTGCTGATGAACATGCACCAGGTGTTGCACTCATGCAGTAGAAAAATTTGTATCACAATTTAGCAAGATACATTCCTGGGCCGAGTACTACATTGCTATTACAACCAGACAATTTCCAAGCCAGCAGGCACTGCAGAAAAGTTCTGAATTCCAAAGAATACAGCCACATCAGTTTTCACATTGTGCCACGTGTGCTTTCTTATTTGAAAATGTGATGTTGTGTCTTTTTTTTAGTTATTTATCTCATGCACCAATGTCAGGCGTAGTGACCCATGGTTTTAGTCTTAAAAAGCTTGCTTCTCTAGCTTGAACCTGGGGTCTGGGGAAAACTGAAAATTGACAGGAGTGAAGATAGCTTCTCACAGCATCCTGCCAACGTACTTCCACATGTACTGCTGCAGTTAATACTGATTGCACAGCTCTTCAGAAACACGGAAATTCCCTTGAGGCTGACAACAAACCAGTCTAAGTGGCAATTGCGCTGTGTTTGGAAGTATTCTACAGGAACTACACCAGTCAGCTACCACAGAAATGACACAAAAATAACCAAACCTCAACAGACCTGAGCCCCAGGCTTCAATGGGTTAAAAACCCTTTGTAACTCTTGACCAGCAACAGGAGATACCAAATCTGCCTCAGTCCAGAATTGCTCTCAATTTTAGTACTTTTGCTTTGACCATATCTATCTATGGTTACTGTTTCCATTTCAACCAAGTAGAACAGAAAACATTTCACTAAAAACTACTGAAGCTTCTTAAATAGAAATACCTGCCTTCGGGTCTCAGTTATTCACATCTTTACAATGGAAAGATGTGGCTAGTTAACTGGAGGAAGATCTTGGTGAAAGAACTACATTCAACTTGGTAACAGCTGATCTTTTTATTTTGTCTTTATTCAACATTAGTTAATAGGATTCTATGGGAAGGGCTGTATCATGCCTTCAACGAACACAGGGCTTCTGTGCACGCCAATAAAAGCAAGAACAGAAGGTTCCAGCATGAATTCCCTGAAAAAGTGATTCCTGAGAAAATAACTGTATGGCAGTGTATGTCAGTAACATTGAGAATAAAAGAGAAGAAATCCCACTCGAGACAGAGGTGGAACAGGTATCACACTGTCTCATACATTTTGTTGGGTGTTGGCTCTCAAACTAAAGTCTTCTTGTTACCTTGCTGGATTCCTCCAGTTGAGTGCCTCGCTTCCAGGCCTCGGAGAACATGGAGCTGACAATACTTTGGGAACGGACATGTCCAGCTGGCTGGGTGTCAGAAACTCCACTGTCAGACTGATTAGAATGATTTGATTGAGATTCTGTTTAGAAGAAAGTTAAGAAACAGTTATGTATGCTTCTGCATGCAAGAGTAAAGTCAGTGTGTTTATAATGCAACTCTGTGTGACATTTATTGGTCACACTCCTTAAATATATTATTAAAGGACATTGTTCCCACTAACTACTGCATAAGCTCTAGCTCGCATCCAGGCCATTGCTGCCTGGCAAACAAAACAGAGCAACAGATCCCTGGTATTAACCAAATCTGAAGCACCACAAAGACCACAGCATGTCAGATATGCTGCAAAGTAAAAATATATGGCAGTTGTGTAGGTTCTGAAACACTCAACAGCTCCCACACTTTGGGAATAGCCCTGTTTCATGCAAGGCATGCAGCCTGCTCTCTCCAGCACTCCTTCCCAGCACAACCTTAGACACAGACACCGGACATAAGGTGAGGACAGGCAAACTACGCCGAGGCAGCAGTCTGCTTCTGATAGCTCCATTCCTCCAGGGAAGAGAAGGAATGATGTGCATCCTGCAACTAACAAACGCGGATGATGCTCTGAGTCCACAGGATATCTTGAGCAGCAGCCACTGCCAGAGCAATCTATCCAGCCTGGCACCTGCTTTCTGTGTAGTCCCAAGCTGTCCTGGGGAAAATGACAATCTAGGCACAGGCTGGACTGTAGCTCTAGCAGAACACTCATGGCTGGTGAGCTGTGGCTCAACTCCCCACAAGAGGAATTTTATCAGAAAACCACCCAGCTTGGATGGAGAAATTGTCAGTAACTGAAAGTTTATCGCTACACCTGGCAAGCTGTTCCAGACAGTTGAAAAAACACGGTGCCTTCCCTGTTAGGCTGCATTTGCTTAGCTCACTCTCACAAGCTACTTTCTGAACCCTTCCCATGAAGTAGCTTTACTTCCTGACCTGTATCTGCGATGGAAAAAACACTTCCCCACAATAACCTGTCTTCAATAATGGAACTTGCCCCTGAGGGTTCAGAGTAACCTGTCAGAGTGTCAGTCAGCTCTGAAGAGTGAAATGAGACTATATAAACCATTCATCAATATTGAAACTGCTATGTGCTACAGAAAAACAGCCCCAGTCCTGCTGAGAGGTAAACAGCAGCGTATTACTGCTGGCACACGCAGTTTGACATGGGAACAGAAACAGTATTTTCAAAGTTTGTCTCTAAAGAGATTGTTTGGATCTTCGCCTTTGGGCAGGGACTATTTCTCGTTTTCCAATTTCAAATATTTCAGTCAACAAAAGCAGTTTAACAGCCACACACACAAGTCTCTATGCATCATTAAAACATAGATTTGATTTCTTTTTTCAGATAGGTGAAGACAGAGGCATCAGGAATTTGAAAGGAAGTTTCCTCTTCTCAGTATCAGAAAAACATTCTTTTTTGGAGCTGAACAAGAAAGCACTGTATGTTCCAAATACATACACCACTGCAAGTACAATAAAATAGGTTTTTATGCGTTTTTGTACATATATATGTTAAACATAAAGTCTGTGTTTTAGACTAAACATAGCATAAAGACTTTGGAGAAACAGTCCATTTCCTTCAATAGTCTCTCCTGAGGTGTCCTGATACCAGGGGATAGAAAAGGTAATTAAATCTTTCTATTATGAGACAGATCACATTATTACCTGGCAAACTAGATGAGCTGGAGCCTGACTTGATACTGGAGCTAGACAAGGAAGTCCAGTCATATGCCGATTCTGTTCTCTTCAGCGCTTCCTGATAGTTCATGTATAGCTGCTTCCCATACTAAGCAAAATGACAGACAAATTTAACACCTGTAGAGGCTGTGTACACTTTTCAGACTGTTGAGCTCCACCTCCGGCTTCTCTATTCCACCTTTTTTCCTCACAGAGAGAAACAACTGTCTCTTTGTTAAGGAGCTCAGGCAACATTAATTCAGTGCAAATCTAGTTTTGTTTTATTTAACCGAAGTGGCAACTCCCTTCCCCCAACCTTTTGCCTTTTTATTCGTGAATTGCTGAAAGAAAGAAAACCAGTTCACTTATGCAAGAAATGGGCCAATGAATAAACTAAGCCAACCTGGGGATCTTAGAAAATAATTGTTTTCTCAATTCCCTTCTTTTCCCGTAAGTCTTCTTTTTAAAATCTGTAAGGGAGCTGGCTAAAATCTAGCCATGATGTCAGTTAGAGAGGTGCATCAGAAACAAGGAGAAAGGGCCCAATTACTGAATTACCACAACAACAAAGTCTAACAATTTTGCTAGGGACTGAAATATGCAAGAAGATTGTGTATTCACCTTCAGAATAGTTAAACAGAGGAAAGTTAGATTTAGCGCATATTTTGCTAAGTAACTGTAAATGGTTTTAAACAGATAACGACAACAACTCATGGAAACAGTGCAGACTGCCTAGAGGAGGTTACCTTAGCAATGCGGATGCCATTGATCCATTGGTGTAGAGTTCTTACATCATCACAGCAAAGGTACTTTATATACTGGGACTTCTTCTGGATCTGAGGATGCTGCAGAAAAATTATTAATCATCATCAATATTTTAATAGCTAGGAATGCAAGTAAAGCCTTTTACCTGTTGAGATCTATACAGACAAACTTAATGCTGGAAGCTCTTCAATAGTATTTCGAGCCCACCTGAAAATGTTAGAGAGTATTTCAGGAGGTGGCAGTGGGGACCGCTTCACACAAAGATTGGCAGTGTGTCCAGTGTGCACTGATTTCAGGTTTGAAACACTAAGAAAGGGTGAATCTTTCAGTATTTTAGTGCTGTACCTTCTATCTACCAACAGTCATCTGTACCTGTAAGGGTCTTTAGAAATCTTTATACACTCGACCCAAATGCTCAGAACAGTCTCAGCTTTTAAAAACCCTTCCAAAACACAAGCAAGGGACTGCCAAAGAGTAGAGCTGTCTCCTTTTACTGCTCTATGGATTAACTCACCACCTGAGGGAGACAACTAATATTTCGCCTTCCTCTCACATTAAAACAAATTGGAGGAAAACACACACACTGGTCTTTGCTTTTGTATGTCTCAAGTGAAACACTACACAAATGACACACTGTTAAGCACAATTCCATTTTCAGCTTTTATAGCCTGCAAGGTACCCACCCTACTGACACCAGGCTATCATCTAAAATACTTGCTGCTCCCACATGCATGTATAAAAAAGAAAAGGTGCTGTATTTATGAATTCAGCAGTCAAGAAAGAAATGTCTATTTTTCAAAAATCAGACACTGGAAATCATTCTGGATGGATTATTCAGTTGTTTCCTGCCCATGCTGTAGAAGTTACATGTCTCACAACTGTCAGGGCAACTTTGAATACTCAAGTTCTTATCATTTCCTCTGTTAGCTTACAGTTCAGTGACACAGAGTTTTGCTAGGTGACCACAGGTATTAACGTTTTACTGCAGACTACCTGAAACACATATCAAAGAACGTTTAGTGTCTTTTCAGAATATTTTCTCCTGTTGTCTTCCAAACATAATTATTTCAAAATGAACACAAACATGTTTATCTCCATAAACAGAATATATATAACTAACTTCATTATGATATCAGATAACTGTTTTCATCTTTCACTACCAGCCTCTTTCACATACATGTTGTATAACAAAGAAGAGTTCTATAGAAGCACACAAAAAATAATTTGCTAACAAGCCATCTTTTTCCTGGACTTGTTAAAAAATTTGGCTACACAGAAGTAAAAGAACCTCTCAGAAATCTAACATTTAGGACCAAGGAGCTAATATTACATACTAGCATACAAACATCATATTTAACAATAGCACAGCACCTGTCTTTCAAGATAAACAAAGGAAGCAAGCATGTAAAGACAAATCCATTCTGGACTTTAGTGACAATCGGCCTTTGAGTTTGTATTTGCCATTCACCTCTCCAAAAACATGTTCACGCTTTGGAGATCTTTCCCAGCTTTGTGAATCTTTGTGGTGGAAAACTCAGTTTCTATTTAAAAAAATACTGTATGGTTTCAATACACTGGTAGTAATAAAAACGACTAATGTAACATTTTAAGAACTGAGGAAGGCAGAACTCAATCCTGCTCAATATCATAATTTGGTGATTCATCAGTTCCACAATGAAAACACAGCTTCACTTTGTCCAAGTTACCTGACTAACTCTTGTGGTGGTGCAGTCCCCTCTCCCCCACCACCTGGCAATCCCAGAACCAGCCAGCATTGTATTCTTGCTTGCACTGCAAGAGCAGTTAGCTGGTGTGACTGGCCACTTTTCTTGCCTTTGAACGCGAGCACTGAGTTGGGATGATCAGGACTCCCTGACTGTACCTGACACCTCTGCTACCTGTTTGGTAAAGGACAGAACGACATGGTCTGAGGAACACCAAAATTACCCTATTGTCGGCACGAATTGCTTCACATGGCCAGGATGGAAACTTACCGACCAAAGTCAATCATCTTGAGACCCTATAAGCAGCGGTACCAAGGAAAGCCCTTTGAGCTCTCCTGGAGCATGGCAGGCTGTGCCCAGTACCCTCTCTCTGGGTGGGATGTCTCTCAGAGCACTTTGAACTTCAAGGTTACCTGGCCTGAACTACAGGGATCCCTCACTCCTTGAGGCTCGACCTTCGCCCATTGAGAAAATCATCTGAAGTGAGTATTTCACTGAACTCGAGGGGCATTTTAACAGGTACCCGTAGCTATGCATATTGTCTCTGTGCGTGTGTGTGTAATTCAAAGCATGATATCCCACTACTGTGACTGCAGTAGTGAATTCTTCTTAATAACTCTGCAGATACTAAATTAACCAGTGATTTATTGCTGCTAAATTTCTGTGATTTTCTCTCTCTAACTGCAAACACACCTTGAATTGCTACTAGACATACCGTTTAGACAGAAAGTGTTGTGGGCTGAGGCTGAGTCTGGATCTAGCTGCACCTAGGCTCCTCTCTGAGAAGGAGTTTAGAAAGCAAGGGGGTCTG